AAATTAACAAATTAGTAAAAAGAAATTATATTAAGTTCAATCGATTTATTAACAGATTTATGCCATCAAAAAAAAATTAATCGGCATAAAAAATTATTACAAATTCATTTAAATAAATAATTTTTTTTTGTACAGCGTAAAAAAAGGTAAACAAAGTTGCAAAGGTTCAAGTATTTTGCAAAAATTTAAAAGGGTGTGAAAGTTGACTAAAAGATATTTATTTTCAAAATTCTTGTGGGTAATGTTATGAGTGGAAAATCCCTTGAAAACATAATTTTAAATAGGTGTATAATTATATATTAGGCCTAAAAGATTTTATTAAGTCTAAAATTAAATTCATTAATTTTAGATTAACTCCTTACACAATTCCAAAAATTTTTGAAAAAAATTACGTAAGTTAGTAGCCGTAAGTTTTTTTTTTAACAAAAATTTTTCCTTATTTTTCAAAGTTCCCTGATCAAAGTTTATACCTTCTTCATAAATGCAAGTTTTTAATAAATTTTTCTGTATAATTAGCAGAGGTAATTTGAATACTTAGCAAGATGACACTTTATGAATGTTGAATGGATTTGGCCATTCAAATTATAATGTATAATGAAACCGATATTTCTTTAATTTTTGGAATAATTGTTGTCCTGCAGTCTCTTTCGGTAATCTCCTACAAATCTTTACAGTTTGAAGATATATTAGCGAATGGATAATTGTATAAAGACAATTAATTGTTGTTTACTTTCTCTCTTATCTTGAATTAATTATAACCCCTAAATTTTGGAAAATGCAAACATTCACCTTCAGCCTTCATAAAATTTTATAGACTGATATTTTTACAGTTAAGAATGCAACACTAATTTTCTTTACTAAACTGATAAGCAATATTACTTAATTTCATACAAAATAATAGCATATTTTTTATTTTATTAGAAAAACGTTTATTTGAGCGGTTTTAAAATAACAAAGGAAATTTTATATAAAAAGCCAATAATTGTTTTGTTTAACGCTTTATTAATTTTGAATTTTAGTACAATGATATTGGCTAAAGAAATATTTTTTGTGATTACCTTTTGTTTTAATATTTTGCATATGCTAGAGAAGTACTGGCAATCGTATATTTGGTAGCGCTACAGCTGATATATTGCAATTTAATATCAAATTTCTAATTAACACTCATAAATTCGTTAAGGGACACAAGAAGACACGTTTGCGGTGGTAGTATTTTGAAACAAACGGAACAAGTTGAATAAACTAAAACTTAAATTTTCTATTTCTTATCCACTTTTATTTAGAACATTGTTGTTACTGTAGACTATTGTACACAAAGAAAAACCAGCTTTACAAAAAACTTTTCAAATTCGTGTTGGTAACCCATCTTCACTTACAGGCGGGCAATTAATATCAATTACTCAAATTATATTATTATAGATTATGAGGACTATAATGCTTATACAATTAATAATGATATTTCAATATTAGTATTGACTGAAAATTTAGTATTTTCACCAAGTGTTCAACCAATATCTACAGCTTCAAAAGAAAGGTTACCAGGTTCTTTATGTGTCGTTAGCAGTTGGGGCTTCATTTTTGTCAAGATCTAATGTATTATCATCTGTTTTAAATTACGTTTACCACTTATCGGTAAAGCTGTATGCCAATCAAAATTTTACTGATAAGAAAATTGCAGAGAGTATGTTTTATGCTGCATATCCGCAAGGTTGATTAGATAGGGAATAAAATGGAAAATTATTCTTATAATAATATAAAGATAATGATAATTAAAAATTTTGTAACGGATCCTAAAGTTACTGGACTTGTGCACAAATTTTAAAAAATATTTTGAAAATGTGTAAAGTTTTTTGCTACATGTTCAAATGTTAAAAATTATATTTCTTTTCATATATATGAATTATATTATATGAAGAATCAATCAAAAGCTCAATAGTCATCAGGGAAAAATAATTATAAGAGAACTCTTATTTGGATGCACACACATCCGAATTATTTTTAGTTATTTAAAAATTTTTAAAGAGGACAATACAAATTTGGTAATTTTATCGTAAAAAACCTTAAAAAATAAATTTAAGTTTATTCAATCTTAATTTGAAAGTGTCGTTCTTAGAACAAACGTACAGAAATCATCTCCACATTTTTTTAGATCCCATTATTAGATAACAGCAAACTTACAACTAAGCTGAAAAATAATTCCTTTTCTTCCGTTTTGCTATGTTAAGTATTCCCATATGTTAAAAATTTCCGAAAAAGAAGATATTTTCACTAAAATGTAAACTAACACTTTGCAAAATAAAAATTTAACTGTTAAACTTACTACCGACTTGATTTAGAATATTACGACTATAGAATATATGACACACAACACTACATTTTGTAACTTCCAAAACTTTTGCATATGTTTGGGATTGTATTTTTTATTGGAATTGCTCCGAAATATATGCAAAAAAACTTCAATGCTAAACAATTAAAATGAATTCTTTTAACAAAATTTAGGCGTGTTGCGTGTGAATAAAATTTTAACAATTTCAAAAGGTTTTTGTTAATAGTTTACATATATTCAGGCGAATAATTAAATATAGTGTTGTTAATAATAATATAATTAAATATAGTGTTATAAATTTCAGAAATTTCAGAATTTTAAAAATTAAATTTTAATTAAAAATATTATTTCCTTTGGAAAAAAATATTTTTTCTTTGGAAAAACGCCTCTAACAACGCCTTAGTTAGGTACTTTCATATAAAAAGCAAAGTATATCTATTGAAGAAGTAGTTCAACTCTCCTAAAACCATTAATTTTCTTTCGTTTGCTTGACACTTCCACGATTCTCCATTTTAAATTTCCAAAATACTTCATTTTTATCAAGGTATAGATAGTAATAAGAGTGGTATAGACAAGAAAGAAACAAAATATTGTAAACAAACGAGTATATTAAAAATAGCGAACTGAAATCAAATAAAATTGAATTAAGTTATGTAAAAATTTTGTAATTTTTATTTTAATAAAAACTGCGATTATTTTTACATTGTCTAGTTTAGTGAAAGTGTTGCAGGGGAATATGAAAATGCGTTTTAAACACTTTTTACAATTTTAAGGGCACTAGGAAGCTTTTAGTTAGCTTTCTATTTCTCTTTATAATCGCAAAAATTAAAGTCGGCCTGCAAAAAGCTCTGGTCCCCCAGACCTGACATATTACAAAAATTGATTAATGCGTGACATAACCAAACTTGATAATAAACTCCCATATAAGATTTCATCAAATTGGTTCAGTTGACTTGAGATACATACGTGCACGTACAGTCAAACAGAACGAAAGATCAACATCTCTTTAAAAATAGTTCATTTACGCTTCCCTAATCTATATTATGAAGAAGTATGTTGCCATCGAAAAATCGATATCCGAAATTCGGTGCCATCACAGAACTTCCCTTATTGTATGAACTGTGAAATGTGTATGCATATTATATGATTTATGAAATATATTACTAATACGTGCGTTTATTCATATTCATAGGCAATATGTGTTTTAAATTTAAAAAATAAAAATCTCTTAACTCTTTTAGCAAAGGGAATGTTTTGTATAGATTCATTAGTGTATATATTTGCATTAGTGTATATGTAAACGGTGACTCTCTGTTTACTTCTTGAATAGCTACTTCTTGAATAGATATAATTTGGTCGAACTTACATCTGGAATAGATATGCTTTGGTACAGAACGAGTAATATAAGTATGCTTTAATGCACTCTTTTTTCTCCTTCATAATATGTTTCATATAAATATTGCATGCATATTGTAAATGAAGGAAAATTGTTAATAAAATTACATTCTCACTACATTTTCTTTTGTTTTCTTACATTTTCTTTCATCATTCTTACTATGTACATCAGGTGGTGATATACATGTATACATACATATACATGTCTTTTAGTTTGCTGTGTAAATCCTTTTTTTCTTTTACTAATTTAATAACTTTGGATTTACATCGTGTTAAATTGTAATAACTATCATTACTAAATATTTAATGCTGATAAATTTGGTAATATGAAAAGCAAACCTTGCATAATATTAAAGTGAAAAGATTTCATTTGAATATTGAATGTTGATCTTCTTTTAGTTTTTTTCATGGTAAATGTGTTAATTTGGAGTAAGAAGATAAATGCAATATGTTCGCAGAATATTTCTACTAAACATATATGTCTAATGGTCTTTTTTCCACAATTTTTTGGAATCATAAAGAATCAGTTTTGGAAGAAATTTGAAAGACTGCAAACATTTTTGAAAGAAAGACTATAATTTTTTTTAAAGTTGCGTTTTTTCCAATTCCCAGTATAACCCCACGCAAAGAAACGGAGTATCAGCATAACAGAACAAATATTGAGTAAATGTAAGGTAAGAAGACAAATTTGGGTTCGAATAAAACGTTTATATATAATACGTGGGAAGAATGAAATTTCAAAACAAAGAAAAACAAACAGGAAGAATGCGTGATACCAGTTGTACTAATACAACCAAAAACTTTACGATTCACTACATACATATGAATTAAATGCTATACTGTTGCATTATTTTTCCTCAATATCAAGCCCAGAAATGATTTGAACACTTTTATTAAAAATAGAGTTAAGTGTAAAATTTTATTATTTAAACGTTTCCTAATATTATTTAGAATAATTTAGAATAAGCAATTCTATTGCTTTAGCATTTACAATTTTATTTGAAATATAATTCAAGTAGAAGTTTATATACATAGTAAAACTGTTTTCAAATAATTTAAAATATTTTTGAATTCTTTTACATTGAAAAAATTGTTTCCACTACAAAATTTAAAATTTCTTCGAAAACACTTGGCAACTGGTAATTTTTGTTTTACGTTCAGAAGTTACCGTACTCTGAAAGACTATTTTTGCAAAAACTAAAAAAAATTAAACAAAAATATATCGAAAAATGTAAGTTGAATTTATTCTTAATGTTCGGATGTAAGACACCTCTTTCAAATCAGATATTTAAACGGAATACTTTTGCATTTTATCCTTAATCCAATCAGCCATATAAAAAACGTCTGTATATACACCTGGGCTATTTTCTGCTCCACACCCGATACCCCAAGAAACAATCCCAACTAATTCTTCACCTTCAGCAAGTGGTCCACCTGAATCTGTTGTACATGAATCTTTACCTCCTAAAATAATAATGAAGAAAAATTATATTAAATTTATTTCATTTATACAAAAAAGTAAAGTAAAGTAATTACAAATATTAACCTTGTGGATATCCAGCGCACATCATACTCTTTGTAAGTTCTTCACCTTCAAAATATTTTGATTGACATACAGATTTTCCAATAAGTGGTACCTGAACGTAATTTAAAACGGGCGAGGGTACATTAGAATTGGCAAATAAGTAACCCCAACCGCTAACAACGCATAAAGCACCTGGTAACCTTTCTTTTGATGCTATAGATATTGGTTGAACACTTGGTGAAAATACTAAATTTTCAGCCAATACTAATATTGAAATATCATTATCAATTGTGTAACCATTGTAATCTTCATGATCTATTATATCAGCAACCTGTATCAAATTCCCACCTTTAAGTGAAGACGAGCTACCAACACGAACTTGAAAAGATTTTAATAAAGCTGGTGGTCCTTGTGTACAATGAGCAGCTGTAACTATAATATTCTACAAAAATTAATTAAAATTACTAAAAAAAAATAATTTTGTTTTTATTGAAATATTTACTGTTTCGCAAATACCTTTGAAAGAATACTACCACCACAAATGTGTTCTCTTTCCTCTGTATAAAAATTCATTTTTGTTAATGAAATTTGATATGGAAATTGAGTTATATCAGCTGTAGCGCCACCAACAATGCGATTGCCAGTGCTACTTTGGCACTTGCCAATTGTGAAGCAAAATGCGATCACAAAAAATACTTCTTTAACCAACATTTTCGTAATAAAATTCAAAAGTCACAGAGTATTAACCAAAATAATTTTTGGTTTTTTATATAAAATCTCCTTCATTATTTTAAAACTGTTCAAATATTTATTCATAAAACAACTTAAATGTAAACATCTAATAGAAAAATTCTGAAATAACGCTATTTAAAGAGTTAAGTGATTTTAGATTTAATTTTCTGTATTGTGTTATTTGAATAAGGAGAGTATTTCTTCAGCTTTTTTCTGAAACAGACTTTGTTAAATAGATGGGATTTTTCGAATTAAAACAACCAATTAAGAATATAATTTTATTATCATTATTTTAATTAGAATTTCCTGTATAAACCCAAATTAAATTACATAATTTTAGCTAAAATAAAATTATCACAATTTCTCAGTTAAAATGAGCTACATTTGCAATTATAATTAAGATCATTTGCAGAAAAAATCTATGTATATGAATAGAAATGTTGTTTTATAACCAAACATTTGAAGCTGAGAAAACAAAACGTAAAATGAGAGAAAACTATATAGATTTGTGAAAAACCTGGTTGTCATACTTCGAAAATAATCTCAAATAATTCCTCTATTGATATATTTATGTACACTTGCTGAACAAGAAATAAATGATATGTTAAATTAAGCCGTTATGTGCGTTTAAGTTTTCTTGGATTGAAAACCCAATTAAAATTAAAATATTCTTTATTAAGTGTTGAATATAAAAGTTTTCTAAGCACCTTTAGATGCATAACCACGTCATTCTTATATGCACATTTTATACATATAAATAAATATGGGAAATATATAATAAACACCCCTTAAATGATAACTTTTAATTTTACTTCTTTGTGGCACATACTGATGTTAATGATTGAACGTTAATCTAAATATTCACCTGATAATAATTGTAAACGACGGCTCCAGTTATCTCTTCAACAAATCTTCGATCTATTTATCTAGTGCTCGTCCACAAAATTTTACACAACACATGCATTAATATAATATCTAAATTCAAATAAGCAGTAAAAACATATAATTTACAATATTTTATCGTGTTCATAGTAATGTGGTTCACAAATAATTAATATGTGTGTATTCAGCTAATAAACAAAATATAATTATTATATGTATATACAAAGTGCGAAACATAAGGTGGCAAAAAATGTCAAGGATGATTCTTTAACAAATTTTCATTAAAAAAATGGTATGATTAGGGGGGAGGGGGCGGACTGCAGATATACTCGTTTTCGAGCTACAGCCTATTAAAAAAAGGTACTGGGCTTTTTCCTGTATATAAATAAATTCTTATAACTTCGAAACCACACAACATAGAGTTATCATTTGGTGTTTGTTTTACAGGTGATTGATTGTTTTTTAACTTTGATTTTACAATTATTTCGAATTGAGCCATTGTTTCCGAGATACAGCTCTTCAAAGTCAGAATTTTTGTTTTTTTTTTTAATTGTTTTTTACAAAATTCGAAATTTCTCGAAAATTTTAGTTTTTTTTTCGATGCGCTACGATGAGACCTAAACTTGTACTTGTACTTATGACTAAGTATATACAGATCCATTATTAAATTGTTATTCAAAAAAGTGTCTAATTTTGTACAAAATTCACATACAATATAAAATAAACGAAAGAAAATTTTAATTAAAGCTTTACGGCAAGTTTATTTGACTCACGATATTGTCCAATATCTGTTCAATTAATTGAAAATACAAATATACCTATATAATTTGTTTTTGGATTTTCTTAAAAAAATAAATTTTAATATTATATTTTATTAAAATATTGATCAATAAAAATAATTAGTATTATATTTTATTATTTAAAAAACATTATTATTTACAGTAACATCAAACTGAATATAAATTCATTTTGTCGATAATCCATTCACCCATATAAAATACATTTGTATATACCACAGGTCTATTCTTATAACCACATCCTATACCCCATGAAACGATCCCAATTAATTCTCCACCTTCAACAAGTGGACCACCAGAATCAACAGAACAGGCATTTTTCCTTCCTTTAATTAAAAAAAAATTAATTAAAAAATTCGCTAAATACATATAAATTATGTTTTGAATATTCTTTTTAATTGTTGTAATAATTAGCTTTTCAATTCCTGGGAAATGATAATTTAAATTACAATTTAAAATGCAAGCTTTACGAATTTAAATTAAAATTATTCTCGCTGAACTTATAAATTTAGAAATCTTTTGACATCAATTAAACTAAAATCATTTATGAATCACTTATTTTGACATCTGTCAATTTGACAGTAACCAGTAAATGAGATTGGAAATTCAAAAAGGCTTATGTCACCTTTAAAATAAATGATCCATATATGTATGCACTTATTTCATAAATTTTTATAATAACCTTCTATGTGTCCTGTGCAAATCATACTATCTGTTAGAGGTTCAAAATCTTCATAAGCTTTATTACATTTTTCACGTTCTATTATTGAAACATTAATATAATTTAAATTTGGTGATGGTATAAGAGTATTTTCATCTAAATATCCCCAGCCACTAACTAAACTTCTTGTACCAGCTGGTCGATTACTTGACGCAATTGAAATCCTATTAACTTTTCTTGAAAATTTTATAATTTTCTTTAAAATTAAAATTGCTACATCATTATCAATATTTAAATTATTATAGTATTCATGGTTAATAATCTTATCAATGTTAAATAATTCTCCCCCAGATATTGATGAACTGCTACCAATTCTAACTTTATGTAGCTTTATTGTACTTTTTGTAATAATATACGTACAATGAGCAGCAGTAATTATAATATTCTGGAAAATGTAGGTGAAATTTTTAATCAAAATTATTACTTATATAATGTTTACCTGACTTAGAATGCTACCACCACAATTATGCTCCCATTGATCTGTATTATTGTTATATTTAACTAAAGAAACTTGATACGGAAATTGTGTAATATCAGTTGTTGAACCGCCATTATTTCCCAGTGAATTAAATAGGAATTTTCCTAGATCTCCTCTGACTGGTTCTTCATCAATAAAATTTGTATAATAATCAAAATCATCAGGTGGTGGTCCTTGATCTCCACGAATATTATTCAAACTTCTTTTACGCCTTTTAGTATTTGATATATTTTTTGTTATTTCTCCTAAATCTCCACGTTTTGGAATGCTATTATCATCTTCATAATAATCATAACTATATATCAATGCCGTAATATTTTGATCATCTCTTAATTCATCTTGAGCTTTATTGCTTGTACAGCACATAGCAAGAGTAATCAATAAAATTTTTGGAAACATTTTTGAATTTATTCTTTTTTTTTATATCTAAAGAAAGAAAAGTAAAATTTAATTTCTAAATCTAATTGTATCAGCTAAAGAAAAATTAAATTTAATAATCTAAGGTAATGAATTTAATTTATAACAAAAATTAAATATTAGAATGGTTACGACCGCTGTCTGTCAAAGTCAGCTTCAGTATTAAAATCTATGATGCATTAAAATTTATTTACTTAGAAGCTGGAACAGTCTTTGCAAAAATTTCAATTGATACAAAAAAATATTTACACTAAGCTCTGCAAACTCGATTTTATAGTTACAGGGCTCTAATATTTCTAACAGGGACTCCATTTAAAAAGATTTTTAATATCTTAAATCTTATTTTGAAATTTTTATCTAATTGGATATTACAATTAAATCTCCAAATTGTTATTTGTAGTTTTATAGAATAATCACGTATTGATAAATCCTAATATCACAGTATTCTGGTATGATTTTAGTAAAGGCTGAGGTGGCAATTATAGTAACTGCATTTTTGCTGATTGTAATGTAAACTTAATTTTTCTGCATTACAAATTATCTACAGACGCTACAGCTACCAACATTTGCAGGTACTTTTTACAATCAAATTCAAAATAAAATTTGACATAATAGTGAATGTGAAATGTCCAGGGAACGGATTTTACAACTAAAAATAGGTTTTTACCCATTAGTAATGCTTATCAGAACATTTTTACTAAATGCGTTTCATAGAAATTTCTTTTATTTGTCATTAATTTGGAAAAACTTTCTCAAACCGTTCTCGGGTTTAAAAACCTTTTTTAACCTCTTTTAACAAAATTTGCCTTTTTTCCCCTATTTCACCATTTGTTTTTGCATATTTTGCCAACTATTGAAGATCGATTTTAATTTCACAATTTTTTAAATACATTATGTATACATATTAATTTATAATTATTGTTATACAGTAAAACACGGTTAAGTGGATCACGCTTAAGTGGATTTCACGCTTAATTGCATCAAATTTTCGTGGCTTGTACTTTTTTCGATTTTTTCATATAAAAAAATTCGTTTAAGTGGAATTCGGATAAGTGCACAACACGCTTATCTGCACATATATTTTTCCCTCATGTAATACTTAATAATGTAAATTTATTCGGTTAACTGCACATCCCTGTTTTTATTTAGCATAAATGTCAAAAATGAAAAACTACACTCTCAACTACAAAATAAGAAAAGCAATACTATGTAGCTACACAAAATATTTTAGTTTCTGTCATTGTCAAATTTTGAGTGTTGAAAAATTAAAGTTATAATATTATTAGCTAAAATTAATTTGAATTTGTAAGGAAAAAAACCTAAGCAAGCTACATTTTTATTTCAAGTTTTCTATTAAGGGAAATTAATTTACCGTTGCTATTATTATTTTTATAATGAAGTTAAATGTGCAATTTTTTGATTTTTTGTTGATTTTGAAATAAAATTTTAATTTTTAACTTATAATTAGAACCAGTTTTTAATAAATTCAATTCTTTGACATCGGAGGTAATTTTTTAAGTCGAATTCGAATAAGTGGAAAACACGCTTTAGTGGACAAAATTTTCTTGGCTGATCGATTTCCACTTAACCGTGTTTTACTGTACATGTTTTATTTGGTGTTCATAAGTCTGAATTTTAAATTTTGTTTGTTATTTTTGAGTTATATTTTGTTTTATTGTGTTTTTATATCCTGCACTTCGTGAAGGGTATATTAACTTTGGTATGGAGTTTGTAACTACTTGAAGGAGTCATCTGCGGTATGGACATATGTATATATATATATTCTTGCTCAAAGAGTTTATTTTAAATATTTCCAAAACTAATAAAGCTAAAAATATAAAATTTTGTACACATATGTCCAATCATATTCTACACATGCTACAAAAATTATAATAGGATAGCTGTACCGGTTCGGGTGGCTGCCATACAACTCCAATAGCAAATTTTTTATATTCGACAAAATAATAAAATCAGATTCATGAAACTTGGCAGTCATGTGTCCAATTATAGGTCAAATATATTTGTAAAGTTTTGATGGAATTGCTTGACAGGTTCAGGTGCTCGCCATACAACTCCAAAAGCTAATTTTAAATATTTGGAAAAATTATAAAGTCAGATTCATGAAACTTGGCAGTCGGATGTCCAATTATACATCAGACATGTCCAGGAAGTTTCTATAGAATGATTTCACAGGTTCGAGTAGTTGCTACACTATAACGAAAGGTGCAGGGTATAATTCAATCGGTTTATACCGACTGAAACGTTTTTACTTGTTATTTAATTTATTTTGTTTTTCAACATTATTTATTTAAGTTTTGTTATTTTATGTTTAGTTTTGTAAATTTCTTGATATGAGAACGATACTTTGATTTTTATTAGTATCATTTTTGCAGTATAATAGAAACTTTTAAGAACCTTTTTTTCAGTTTTAAACGACCTATTTAGTTTCCTAAAAGCACTTTTTCAACACATTGAAATCCGTTAACATATAGATTAGTTACACTAGAAAAGTAAAAAAAATTCCTTCAATAAGAGCTGGTTTTTTTGAAAGTGGTATAAGTCCATTTTTTCATATATTGAGATATTTAAGGTTTTGCATTTGAATTAATTAAAAAAAATATGGCCATAATAACATATTATGTTGGTTTTATGTCTAAGTAGAACTCTATTGAAATTGTGATTGTAACTGTGGAGAGAAGGTGTCTATGGCTCATCAAAATTACCATTAACTTAGTTTTTTTAAAAATTGAACTTATACCACTTTCAAAAAAACCAGCTCAAATGTACTAATCATTGCAGAATATTGCAATAGTAAAGCTAAGGAAAATTGAAAAACTTTATACATTGGAACTCAGCTAAATCTCACAGGCCAAAAAAATAAACGAGAAAATTGAAGTGAGCGAAAAAACCAATTTATGTTGAAACTTTGATTTAATTTTAGTTTTTGCATACATTCTGCAACACTATATACATAATTATAATAATAAGGAGAGCGAATTATTCAAACCAAAAACATAATGCTTACATATGTATATGTTATACAGATTAGAAGTTTATATAATATATATTTTATATATAATGTACATTTGCATATACTTTTATATCATAGGCACATATATACCGTTTGCATTCAAATCGGTTAATAATTAACATAATTTTCATTAATTTTTTTTAACTAACAGTGAACAATAGCAAGAAAATCTTACTGAGTGTAGAAAACTTTAATATCACTTACGCCTCTAGTCGTTCTAAAGACAACTTTTTATGAATATGTACATACACAGAAAAAAAAACATCTTTGTTCTTTTCTATTATTTTTTAACAAAAATTTGTGATTTCTGTACATATGTACACCGCTAAATAAATATGTAGTTTTGTTCTTAATAATAGTTTGGTTATTTCTTTAAAATATTGGGTAGATGAAAACCAAATCATATTACACACACACATACATATTCCATTACAACGTAAAATAAAAATATTGAAAATTAGTGTTTGCTCACAAATTAATTATCAATACAATACCAAAAACAATAATTCTTTCATAACTTGTTATCGAAAAATTTTTTGTAATCTCCAAACCTTTATAAAAATTAAAAAATTCTTGCACAAACATAAAGTTCTTAATTTTTAAATTTTTAATATAATTTTTGATATCTTGCGGTTCAAATAGTTTTCACGTCTCCTAGCAAACTAAATACCAATAATAATAAAAAAATCTTATTAATGGTAAGTTTTTATTTTCTGTTCTCTAACAAATGAACATTAGATTCAAAATGAGACAAACGACCTACATTTGAATTCTGAAATCTCGTTAAAAGAAGAAAACAGTGAAATCAGGTATAATATTATACTGCAAAATTATAACGCGTTTATGTTTTTTTTGTTTAAAGATTACACAAATACAAATTGTGATCATATTTGCTACAAATTAGCAAATAGAATTTATTATAGAAATTAGGTTGGAAAAAACCAGAAATTTTTGACTCGACTCATGAACTATAAAGATTCTTAGTATTTTTGCGATAACATAGAGTCATATAAGCCACCTTTTTCAGTACTATATTTTATAAGGTCAAAGTATAAAATATCTATAACAATGTTGCAAAATTTTGGAGGCGAAGCTATAGAATATATACAGCTAGTTTGATAAACACATTTTTTTTGAGAACCCTTTTAGTGTTATATTTCTAATGTAGAGAATAAAGCTTTTGAACAGTGTTGATTATGGTTACATACAAGTTGAACGCCACTCTTTTAACATAATGATCACATGCAATTTCATGTTGCTTCTGCCATAATACATAATATCGTTAATAGAAAAGCGCTGATATATTGATTGTCTCAGACAGAAACCGTAAGATACGATTCACGTAACAAAATTTTATAATATAGATTTTGTAAGGTAAAATTTTTACCTACATATATAAGGAATTTTTTGCGATTAAAAAACAAAAATTTCTATTAAAATATAACTAGGCATTTTAAGACCTTCCTACTCTTATCGGTTAAAATAATGGTGAATTAAGTATGGTGTGGTGAATAATCTTCATATTAATCCAAGCGAGTAAATTGAAAGTGTTTTTGTATATTGCAATTGAATGCGGTTCACCTACATATACATTAAATGATATTCTTACAAATTGTAACATGTACCTCAAACATACTTATTCAAGATATATGTACATACATATTTATATTATTTACTGAGTCAATTTAAAATTTTCTTGTCGCAAAATTCTTATTAAACTTAAGTTAACTACGAAAATAAATTCAACATTTTGATACATTTTGCAGAAAATAAAGATAGCAATCACTATCGATTATCTAAAAATGGTAAAGATAACATTTAAGGTAAGCTTATACAAAAGTTAAAAAAAGCAAAACATAATAAAATAAAAAAACCAGAAAAAAACTTCATTCTTTTAGAGTTTATGTTGCTTTTTCTATAAAATCAGTATTTTGTGTGGTTATATAGCACCAGAATAATTACAAATTAAAGCTTTTTACGGTAACTCAGAACCTTGCTTATTTATTTTGAGAAAAATTAAAACATTTTACAAATTCTCAAAATTTTTTATTCTTTTCTCTTCGATTTACATGTTGGCGCCTTTTGCACTCTCTAATATGCAACTAATGAAAAACTCAAGGGCGTTATTGTGTATCTCGCTTTTTCATCTCATTTTTTATTCACTTTCAAATCAGATTTCTTCGTTTTTTCAATGAATATTTAATTTTTCCAATAAAATTACTCATTTTTCTAAATGAATTTTTTGCATTTCTTTCAAATTATCAACTGCATACCCCATTTTCAAAAACAACGTGAGTAAATTTTCTATACATATGAAAAAAAATGAGATACGCAATACGAAATAATTCTTCCCACTCGAAAACTACATTATACAAATATATGATATTTACTTACTTTCTTCTCACTTGGCGAGTAAAATAATGAGATATCTGATCAGGCTCTAAAAACCAGCGTTTGATTAAAAAGTTTTTATCAATTCATGCTTCACATTTTTGAAGCTACAACTTAGCGTAAAACCACAATTATCAAAAAATAATAGACAAATTTTGATTTCTTTAAGTATAGGTAAGATTAAATTTTTATAACTAACAGAACAACTAAAAGAAAACAAATAAAAGTTTCTCCTTTCTTTACTCTTGGAACTCTTTTTCGCACAACAACACCGTAAAAAATTGTTAATTCAACCTTAAGCTTGACCGCAGTTTTTATTTAGGAGAAAAGATTTGATTTTGTCATATTTTGATATATAAAATTTCCAAGGAAAATTAAAATACTTTTGGATTTTCTTACAATGTTACTACATATCTGACTTTATTATTTTTCCAAATATTTAAAATAAGCTTTTAGAGTTGTATGGGAGCTACTCGAACCTGTCAAGCAATTCAATTAAAACTTCATATCTGACCTGTAATTGATATATCTGACTTTATTATTTTTCCGAATATAAAAACTTTGCTTTTAAAGTTGTATGGCAGCCACCCGAACCCGTTGTCTGAATTAGTCCAATTACAATAGGGTTCGTCCTTGGCACAAAAGAAACAACTTGCGATCGGACGGACGGACATGTCTAAATCAACGCAGAATTTTACCCTGAGCAAAAATATATACATATATATGTCCATATCGCGGTTGACTCCTCCATGTAGTTACAAACTCCATATACCGTGCATTTCACGAAGTGCAGGGTATAATAAAATTGATTTTCAAAAGTGCCAAGTGTTTCAGAGAAAAAAATTCAGTAAATATCAAATTTTTGAGTAACGAAAATATTAAATTTATTAATAACTCTAACTAGCCATTCATTTATTTTTTTAAATTCTTTGACTGAAACAAAGTCATATGGGCTCTATTTAATAAAAAAATAACTAGAAATAAAGTCGATACAATAAACCTGAAGTAGAATCGCAGAGCAGCTTTTGCGAAATGTGGAAATAAAAATGAATTTGAGCTTCGACAATGTTTTCACAAAAATTGTTTCCTTCTTCTGTAATATTTCAGACTTATTTACCAATTTATAACTTATAATTTTTTTTTTAATTACCAAATAAATGTTCATAAGAATTTTCTTATAATGAGGTGTTTATTAAGCGGTTACTAATGAATGTACATATATTGCCATTATAAAATTACAAAATATATTTTTTCATATTAGTAAGAATTGTATAACATTGTATAATAAGACATATTCATACATATTACATATAAATTTAAAATATATTAATAAATTATATCAAAATTAGAATAAAAAAATCCCGAATTACCATAAATAGAATGGCAGCTGAAATAATGTTGGATTGCTGCGTTGGCCCGGTTAAAATATCGGCGCATGATTATGATGCAGATTGTTTTAAATATACTCAAAAAAATAGTGTTTCGACTAGTATTGTCATTGGCTTTGCTTGTATGATTAGATTTAACAATAATTTAGTTTATTTCTATTGTAAAATAGTAGGTTAAATTTTTAAGTTTTGTAGATTTTATTAAAAATTTCATTAAACAAACTAATTTTCCTATGAAGTTCGTTACTTTTATTCAAACTGTGCACTCCTTTGGTATCTTTTGCCTATGTATTTACACTGGAGAGTGATTAGATTTAACCACGTAAATGCTCTTTTGTTATCTCAAAAAATTTATTCAACTTCAAATAATTTGGAAGTTTTTGGAACGTTTGCATATTTTGAAGTATTCCAAGGAATACATTAATAAAGCTTGAGGATGTTAATAAATTTTAGCTAACGATTTTTAATAAACCCATTTCGTTCAAAATTTCTGCGCCTACCTTATGTATATACGTTAGAACTAGCAAAAAAGAAAAGTATTCTCTTTTTGCTATAAAAAAACATAAAATTAAAATCTAATTTTTTAGTTATTAATTTTAAAAAAATTTTATAACTATACACAATATGTACGTATGAACGTTTACATTGGTAACGCAAGACAATAAAAATCTGTTCATTGTTGCATTATGGAAACATTTATTTTTTGTAAATTTCTTTGAGAAAAGTCTAAAGGAAACAAAATATATTTTTACAAAGTATGTTTTTGTAATTCATTAATAATCCAATTACGTTTATATACAATATCTGTATAAACGCCAGGCCGATTCGGTCTTGCACAACCTACGCCAAGTGAGATAATTCCAATTAGTTCACCATTTTCAATTAGAGGACCACCGGAATCCATATTACATGCATCTTTACCACCTATCAATTTAAGAATTTTTGTAATATTGTAAGTATATAATATAAGTTTATAACAATTTTGTGAATAATATTGGAATTTACCACTAAGATAGCCAGCACAAATAACACCTTTTTCCAAATTAGATGTATAATATATGTTTTGACATTGTTTTAAATCAATTAACGGTATATCGACTATATTAAAAATTTGTGAAGGACTTATTCCCCTTTCATTTTTTAAACCCCAACCCATTACAGAACCATAGGTACCAGATGGTCTGAGCTGCGTTGCTAACGATATGGGACTAATATATTTGCTAAAAGGTAATATTGATGATAAGATCAGAATTGCGATATCATTTTCATATGTTAAACTATCAAAATGATAATGTTGAATAATTTTTTCAACATTCACTAAAATGCCATCTCGTGCCCAATAAGAACTTCCGGCGCGAACCTTGAAAGTTTGAATAATTTTCTTGCTGTAGTTTGTACAATGAGCTGCCGTTAAGACTGCATTCTACAATTAAAATATATAATATACATATGTAAGTGTATATGTATATATATGAAGTGTATCGTGTTATCAATATGAATTAGGTTTTAAACAAATATCCTTTAAATATAGTCTTACCTGAGTAATAATACTGCCACCACATAAATGAAGTCTGATTACAGTTCTAGGAACCTGAACAGAAATGGAAACTAAAAAAGGAAAATCTTCAATTTTGCCTGGAGCACCACCAACCACTCTTTTAATCCGTTTTTGGTTAAAGGAATCTAAAATATATGCAAAATACAATTTAAATAATTTGAATTAAAATCTTTTTTACTCTGGGTCTAGATATCTTAAATAGATAAATTGAGTTATGAAATTATTTTTTGAATTTAAATTAAATCCCTCATTAGCTTTTCTCTCAAAATATTTTCGTATCTAAAATCTAACAATACTCCTTATGTTTTTTTTCAGCTCTTGTAAGAAATCGAGTTTCCCTTAAGAGGGAATCTTTTAAAAGAAATTTCAGCTTATAAGAAACAAAATGAATAACAAAGAGAAATTTCTTTTATGCGGGTTATTCTTTACAACTAGACCTTATGTTTGTACGCATGTATGTTATATTTTTTTTTCCTTATTCACTCCTAGAAGGAGCATAGGGTTAGTGCATGATATCATGCACTAGTTTCATAGCGTCAGTTAACTAGGTAGGTGACTAGCCTGACGTAGTTTTTATTTATATTACAATTACTTGAGGTTATTAATATTTACTGTTAATTTTTCTTAGTTTTTTTAACGTCGAATATTATGAATATTTGAAAATTACTTGTATAATATTTATTTGTATTGTATATTAAGTTATATAGGTGTTACCAATTCATTTTAAATTATTTTGAATAAACTAAAATCAGAATTCGATACAAACTAAAGATTTTATTACAACTTAATTTTTGAAGTATCAAGGATTGATTTTCAATTTATTTTCATATAAAATCATTGTCAAATACTCTTCAAATTGACGTTTTTTCAAAAAAAATATAAAATTAACTTTTGATACTCTGTTGATAATGTTGATTTAAATACAAAATTACAAAAATTTTTATTTGATAAATTTTGATATCCAATGTAGAAAAATCGTTATACTTTGAAAAAAAAAACCTTAAATACTATCACACGATTCTACATTAATTTTACGCTATACCGTGTATAACAGTTTTCACAACACATACAAATAAACACAAAAAGTGCTATAAACAGAATATCAGCATCAATAGGTATAATAACTTATTGGAAAAAAAAATTATCACCAAATACAAAAAATAAAAATTATAATATAACAAATTACCATTATCAATATTATATGGCAACGCTACATTTGCTATTATGATTACTTTAAATACGATTGTAATAACTAAAAATTTTAACATTTTATTAAATTATTCCGTTATGTTAACAACAACAACTAATTATTTTTTGCTAAATAACATTTCTTATATATTTTTGAAAGAAATTTCAATATATTTTGTGTAATTTTACTATCATTTTTATGGTACGTAGAAAATATTATAATTTCGAACATCTGTTCAAATTTGCCAAATATGATCTGGTTCCTCTGGATAAGTACACACAATATAGTATTTTATTATTAAGATTTTTTTTTATTTTGCTGTTAATTAGAAAGCACACGTTCAAAAACAAATTTGTGACGCAAAAATCTTTAATATGTAATTAATGTATACATAAATTAAAAAATAAATTTATAAAATATTGTGCAAAAAAAATATTCTATGAAAATCCAAAATAATATTGGCAGTATAACTCTCTGTTTAAGTATATCTGTAGGCAAACAAGCAAAATACATACACACGTTATTTTATTTGAAAATGTGTTTTTGAAAGTTTAAGAAACAAATTTAATCTTTATTTGCATAAAATTTATGCGAATTTTGATCAAATTGAAAAATGTATCCATTTTTCTTAAACAAGCCGTGTAAACATCTTAATATTGTTCTCCTGTTTTTCATTACTACAATAAAAGTTTATTAATAATTATATTCCTTTTTCTCCTTTTCTCTGAACTTTATTTAATTTTAATGAAGTTCTCAAAATTTAATATTTAAATTTGGTTTGTTTATGACAGTAACAATTTAATATATTTTAATCGTTAATATATAAGTTATAAAACTAATACATACTTACAATATCATTTTTAGAAGGTCAGTTCTTCATAAAATCTAAATTTTTAAATTTAATTGAAGATCAAGAAAATTAATCAAGAAAATGAATTTTATTATTTTAAATATAAGCTTTAAATATTTTTATAAAACACAGACATTTCTTATTTTTATTTTATAATATTTTTTTAATATTTAAACAGATGACTCTAGGTATTATACACACATATATGCAGTCTCTATATTATAATATAATGACTTTGTTTCATATAACTTTCTCGAGCAGTAACAAAGAAAATTTTAAGCCTAACTCTAACAACAGGGAACGGTTTTGAAATTTTTTGGCAAATTTACTTAGATATTTCAATCTTAAAGTTATTTTATAAACATATGAAGGTATGTATGTACCTATCCCATTAGTTATTCATATAGCACTGATATTATGTATGCTACATGCACATAGTGTATAGAATGCATACTATATACTGAATATATACATAGTAGAAGAGTCCATATTCGAACTTAAAAGAACTCCAATCGGGAAAGTAAATACAGTACATATACATAAATAATTTTTGTTTTTTTATGTTTGTTTAAATTCATATTTCAATTTAAAATCGTTTATTTTTAATAAAGTTAACTACTAATTAGAATTTAGTTCAAAAGTAAATGTATACACATTGAGCTTAAAATGTCACCGGTTAAAGTAACATTTTTATTTTCTATTATTTTTATAATTTTTACATGCTATCACAGTACCGTTAGTAAACCTTATGAAGAAGATAGAATTGTTGGCGGAAATTTTACTAATATTAAATTAATTCCTTATATTGTTTCCGTGACAATGACAGACGAACTAATTCATAATTGTGGCGGTTCTATAATTGATTCTGTAAGTAAGTTATTAAAATTTCAATTGTATTTCATCTATTAATCTAATCTTATCTCTTAGAACATTATACTGACAGCAGCTCATTGTACCCAATTTGAAGAACAACATCTTAAAACAATGAAAATTCGTGCTGGTAGTAAATATTCTGACAAGGATGGTGAGATAATATCAGTATCACAGATTATCGATCACGAATCATATGACAGTGTTTCTAAGGATTTTGATGTTTCAATATTAATATTATCGGAAAACTTAGTTTATACAGATAGTATACAGCCAATTAAATTAGCAGATGAACGTTATAAATCTGGAACAATAGCTAGAGTAAGTGGTTGGGGTTATGAATCACTTTTTGCTGATGATATTTCTACAGAATTAAAAACAGCTTTTGTACCAATAACTAATTGGAAAAAATGTAAGAAAAATTACGAACTGCTAACAGAAAATCAACTTTGTGCTGGAAAAACAAACGGTAAAACCTTTCTTTTCATTTGCAAATATTTTGCTACTATAGCTCTAAGTAACCGAAAATAATATATTTCATTTTTAAAAGGTGATGACGCTTGTACTGCAGATTCCGGTGGACCGTTGGTTGTAGATGATAAATTAATTGGAATAGTATCTTACGGGAATGGATGTGGTATAGGTGGTGTCTATACTGATATAGTTTCCCTTAAAGATTGGATTGAAACTAAAATAAATTCAATTAAAAACAAAATCTCTAAATAAAGTGTGAAATTTTAATGTTGTCATAGTTAAAATATAAACATCATGGAATGTTGTCTTTAATTTAAAAAATTAATATTTCTTATACTAAACTTTATTTCATTCCTACTTCTACCTAAGGCTAAGGAAACTACCAAAACGACAGTTATGTAAAACGTTATTGATTTGGGTGATCACAAAACAACACTGGCTAAGCTTAGTTTGATTCATATACGTATATATATTGATTGAAGAGTGTAAATTATATACATGCCACAGTTTAAAGGAAAATCGAAAATGGGTAAAGATGTTGCCCAGATATGCGTGCTTAAACTCAATTGTCTTCGAGGTTCCTACACGATAAATTCCTACGATTGCTCAAAAATATCAAATTTTTTGCTTATAACTTCCGTAGAATCTTTAAACAAAAAGTTTAAAATCAACAGAAAATTCTATTTTGTATTTTATGTACTTTCTTTTTTAGTTTTTTTACCTTTTTAGTGTTCCTTGTACAAATTTAATTTAACACATTAAACGTTGAAAAACCTTCTATGGTCCAGAAGATACAAAAATAAATATTTTTAGCCTTCAAAATTTTCAAGGCTTTAATAAAAAGTAAAAACTCAAACAGTAATTATTATAGTAAAAAATTCCTGTTTTTACACTTTCTTGTGGCAAATAAGGAACAAGGATTGTGGCAAATGCTAGGAACAAAATAGGCCCATCAGAAATTAACGGTCACTCAAACGTCACAACCTATCCTTTCATAAGTCTTGCCTATCCTTTCGGGGGCAGGTATTTAATGCCGTCCAGCTTATTTCGCTCACAGCCCCTTTACCAACAATTGAAAAAAGGTGAGTTTAAACTTTTTTTTAAAGGAAAAATTGAAAAATATTTTACAATACTTATTTATTTGATGAGATCTAAAAGTTAACCAATATAACATTTTCCTCTATCTCTTGTAGTTTTGCCAGTAAAACGTGTTAAATGTGTTCAAAGAACATGCGAAAACGAGTACATCTGTATATTATCTGTACTGAGCATTTTGTACATTTACCTGATGTCTGCAATATTTTTTTATGATTTAGATTTTGGGTAATAGCAAAACTATCAAATTTTAAGAACTTGCTTTAAGTTTTCGATACATTACTTATTATCCAGCAAATTAAAGGAAATATATATTTTCAAAATTCAAATATCTACAAACTCATTCAATAATATCAAAGTTATTGTTAAGAAACTCAAAATTGACGATTTTACGTACAAAACATGAATACACCTTGACTATTCATGTAGTACACTAATATACAGTAGTGAATAATGGTGATAACAATAGTTGATATGGATGTTTTACAAATTTCTGACGAAATATTTTTCGAAAGATTTTTAATGCAATTTTGAATGATTTTTAATGTTTTGAAAGATTTTTAAGACTTGCAAATGGTGAAGATGAAAACGAAGCAACAGTGAACTTGAGCAGCTGATACGGGGCGCAGATACAGTCAGATTTATTAAGTCACTAAGGTTAAGATGAGCTGGTCATTTGGCTAGGATGGGTGAAGAAAGGGCACAAGGTATAATTTTTAGAAATCGTTGTTATCTTATTCGGGCAAGAGGAAGACCCAGAACAAGATGGTTGGATGATGTTGAAAATTACGTACAAATTATGGGGGTTCCAAATTGGAGAACACCCGCTGAAGATGGATCAACATGGGGGGGGGGGCATTGTGACGAAGGTCAAGGCTTACCTAGGGTTGTAGCGCCGAATGATGATAACGATGACAAACTCATTCAGCGAATTTTAATACAAATCGGTTATAAACAAAATAAGCAACTCTGACTTCTTTAGTTGTAGGTAACACAATAAATGGCGTATCAATGACAAATAAAGGCTGAGTTTACATGTGCAATAAATAATAGTTAAAAAGTTGACAAACAAAATAAATTTTTGTGTTCGACATATTACAAGAGAAATTTTGGATTTTATTCCTCATTGGAATCATTATTTTTATATAATGAATATATGTACATACATATATACAAATAGAAAATATCACATTTTTGTTGAGCGTACCTCTGTACCAGTTTACAGCTGAGTACATCGCATTTGTAACAATAGTATCACATTTTCTATCCCTGGTTCTTAGGTACTTAAATTTGGAACGGTTCGATTTCTTAACCCTTCACTTTTCTTTATCTAAAAAGTCTAGTGAAAAAATTTTAAAACTCCAGAGATTATTTTAATTGAATTCATTTTTTTATACATTGATTTAAGTTGTTAGTTAAAATTTTTAAAAAGATTCGTAAAGATTTCGTAAAACCTCTAAAATCCCACGAACTGTTTTAACCTATTTCTAAACAAACTTTAGCATACTACATTCGATTCAATAAAATATTTAAAAAATGCTTAAATCATTATTTCAGTTCGTTGAATAAATATCGGTTGTTCATACATATATTTCAATATTGAGAATTACTAATTACTGCAGAGTACTTAAAATTAATATAGTAATGAAAACGCATTCGATTTCTGTAACCAGGAGTGCAGTTACTTATTAGGATATATGCTATTGAATAAACCTTTACTCTTTGGCATTACAGTATTCGTTTAAAGAGCTATTCTATTAATATACATGAGCTTAAAAACAAAAAAATCTGATGTGATCAGCACATAACCGACCGCATTGTCTATTGTCTAGTTAAATGAAAGTGTTACAGAATATTATAAAAATGTCTGTTAAATACTTCTTTCCAATTTTTAGGACATTAGTAAGCTTATAGTTAACATACTTAGAAAAATGTAAATTTGGCTCTTAGTAGAGTTTCGCTTTGTGCTACCCGAATTCCCTGAAATGCTCGCCAGTTAGTTTCGGCAACAACCAGAACTCAAATATCAAATTTCAAGAAATTCCATCAATTGGTTCTGTGGATATGGTGAAAAATGTAAAATCGGCACGCAAATCAGTTCTCGAGCCCTGATCTTTCCAAAAAAGTTATATGTTCATTGCTTTAATATGAGGAATTCATATATTAAATTTCAATGAAATCGGTTGATTATTTCTCTTTATATACACAAAAGTGTATGTTTGGCCCGTAGTAAACGTCTAGTTGCCGATGCCTGATCTTTCCAAAAAATTTACATGTTCATTGTTTTAATACGGGGAATTCATATATTAAATTTCAATGAAATCGGTTTATTATTTCTCTTTATATACACAAAAATGTATATTTGGCCCGTAGTAAACGCCCAGTTGCTGATGCCTGATTTCTTCCAAAAGTTAGGAATTTTTGCGTATGATCGAGCAAAGCTTATATATGAAATTTCAAGTAAATCGGTTGAATACTTTCTTCAAAATGGTGAAAAATGTAAAATCGACCCGCAAATCCGTTTTCGAGCCCTGATCTTTCCAAAAAATTTATATGTTCATTGTTTTGATACGAGGAGTTCATATATTAAATTTCAATGAAATCGGTTGATTATTTCTCTTTATATACACATAAATGTATATTTGGCCCGTAGTAAACGTCTAGTTGCCGAGGCCTGATATATACCAAAAGTTGATCGATCCGTGCCATGGTGGAACCAAACTTACATATAAAATTTCATCAAAATCGGTTCAGCCGAACTTGAGATACACGCGTGCACACACAGACCGACAGACGGACAGACCGACAGGTTGCTAAAAATAGTTTATTTACACTTCCCTACTATGGAGAAGTACGTTCCTACCGGAAACTCGATATGCAAAAATTTGTTGCCATCACATAACCTACCTATTGTTTACACAAAACGGTCGGTAAAAACAAATAACTTTACTATTATAGTTATATTTTTCTCACATATTGAATTTTCTTAAGAAGAAATCTTAATCCTTTTTCAAGTAGAATTTACAGATTCAGAGTAATTTTTGTTTACCAACCAAACATGAAATTCGATTCAATTTTTTTATTTTTTGTTGGTACATCAACTATATTTTGTTCACAGTTTTTTCTTTGTAATTTCAAAGTGAGGTGTCTTTAAAAGTTTTCCATTATTTGTTTGAATTTAAATGTAAATCTGAAAAAAATTTAGGTTTTTTTAACAAACTTTCAAAACAAAAAGATGTTTTTGCAAGAGATTGGTTTTTTGTGCCCATGGGGAAAGAAAATATATTTATACTTTTAATATGGCAATTCCGAAAACAAAATTTCGAGTCTCGACAAAAAATCCTAAAACAAATTTTATGGCAACTTTGTGAAGTTGGCTTGAATTGTCAAATTTTTAAAATGTCAAAAATTAATCTAAACGAAGTTAATAATATCTAAAGCAATGTTTGTGTGTGAATTTTTTAGTAAATATTTTTAAAATAATTCAATAAAAGAAATTTAGTTTTCTGCTTCAACAGATTATGAAAGATTCGGTAATAATAATAATGATGATTGCTGAAATCTTCACAGTTAAAGTCATTTTTTTGACTTAAATTAAGGTAAGTAAATCGCCATAATTCCACCCTAATTAGGTATTTTTTTTATTGGAACCAATAAGCATCAACTAATAACGTCAACTGATGGAAGTCGAAAGATTTCAACGCTTCATTTTATTTTCAAAATTATATTGAAATGATATAACCAAACTGAGCTGGTAAGTTTCAACAAAAGTTTTTTTTACTGATATTTTTAATGTTTATATTAACTAAATGCCAATTAAAATAATTTTTTTGATTTTAACTAGACAAAGTGCAGTCAAGCCCGACCGAAAGAACACAAGATACGAAGAGTATCTTAAATATTGAAATTTGAATTTAATTAAAATAGTTTAAAAAGAGATTAAATTTTAAAACTTAATATACAACAAACAAAAACAATTACAAACAATTCTAGCAAATTTGAGATTAAGAAACCTAATACAATATAATAACTTTTCAATTTACACAAGAAATAAATAGAATTTCGTTTTTGAACCTTAAATCTGAATGAACCTGTTTCTATGTTTGTTTTCTATTTTCAAGACAAACATAAATTTTCTCCAAAATAGTAATTGCAAATATTTATAGGACATGTAGATACCCACATAGATACAATTTGTTGTCTAATATGTGCAACACCATATACATGTATAACAAGAAGTAATGATTTTCTAGAATAAATACACTTTTGATTATATTGTATAACTACGAAAGATGGATAAAAAATCAAAAAGATGATACAATATTACTTTACAAATTAACTTCTAATTTTAATATGAGTAGATTCACCTTATGTTTTGAGTTATATTTCAACTAAATAGAACGTTATTCTTTATCTATTGAAATAGAAGTAATAAAATCGCTAAGGAAACCTTTTGATATCTTTTTAAAAAACTGGAACATCTTGTATATCTATATTTATAGATTCCATTATTAAAGAGGTATTAGTGTGTATAATCGCATTTTCTAATATATATTGATAGAGGTACGTAAGCAAATTTCTATATTTTGCTGAATAAAGTTAAAAATTTGATGTATTAAGCAGATTTTAGCCACAATTGGAAAATCAATTACTTTTTAAAAGTGAAA